GGGGGAGGGGGAGGGGCGGGGCAGCCACTCACAGGGCGGGCTGTGCCAGGCCTGGCCAGACTTTTTGAGCTGCTCTCCACCCTCCTTTCCTGCACAAGCTAAAGGTCTAGCTTGGCGGTGAGCCCCACACACGGGCTGGGTTTGTGGGGTGCTGCAGCCCTTGCTGCGGTTAGAACTACAGTTGTCACCTGGCGCCCTGCTCTGTGGCTCAGTGGATGCAGCCCGCTCCTCCTCCAGGTACCGAGCCCGGCTTCTCCAGCCTAGGGACCAAAGCCCAGGAGACTCTCGGCGCAGCACTAGCCTTGAGCAGAAGTCGCTCAGACACAGCACACACAACACAAAGGATAAATGCTTCCAATCCAGCTTGTCCCACCTCCCAGCAATCCAGTGTCTTCACACTGCTTCTGAAAGAGCGCATGTATAGGAGAGACAGACAGACAGACTACCTCCATATTTCACTTTGAGGTTTGGCTTCCTGAGGCAGCTGTGAGGACGCTGGCCCCGGGCTCCCTCTGTCACCTTCTCTGCAGAGCCTATCTGTGGCTGCCTCAGGCCCTTTGCACATGCTGTGTGTGGCCTCCCATCTTACTGGATTCCTTTAGAACACAGTCTCTGCCGGTGGGAGCCACCCTGACTGTCCGGACAGCCAGGGCTTGTCTTTCCACATGGTCTTGGGTGCCGCAGATTCATCCAGCAGTGTGGGGAATGAGGGAAGGGGAGGGCTTCCTGGAGGAGGAAGGAAGATGTCAGGTAGATGAGAGCTGGGGGCTCTTGGGAGCCAGGCTGGGACCCGTCTGGCATTGGAAGCCCCCCCACAAGGTCCCCATAGACCGGCAGGGGAGGGGGGATGAGTGGAGAGGGCAGGAGGAAGGAGGGCAGGGCGCGGCCATGCCGAGCTCTGAGAGCTGCTGGGGGGCGCACTGCTCCCTGGGAAAAGAAGGCCAGGCCAGGCCTTGGGGAGGGCTTGGGGACGGCACAAGGCCCCCAAGAGCGCAGCCAGGCCACGCGGCTGGGCGGGGGCTGTGGCCATGCTGCGTTCTAACGACGTAGCCACCCAGCACTCCTCCTCCCTCACCCCCAGGTCCAAGGCCCCATGGAGAGTGCACGGAGATCAGGCCGAAGGGGCCGGAAGCTGGGCTCCAGCCGCCGGTGGCAGATGAGAGAGCCAGCGGAAGGCCAGGAGGCCCCCGGGACCCCCGAGCTCTGGTCCCCACGGGCCACGGCGGAGCTGCAGGCCTTCTTCCAGCACTGCGGTGCCCAGCAGAGGAGCTTTGTCACCCGGGAGGACCTGGCGGTGAGCTCACTGTCCCACCCCTCCTGGACAGTTTGTCCTGGGGAGGGGGAACTACTAGAGGCTTGTTTGTACTAACATGTAAATGACACCCAAGGCTTTGTATCTTACTGTTTTTCCACATTCGATCTTTCCTTTTTTTTGGCAGTACTGGGGTTTGAATTCATAGTCTCCAACTTGTGAGACAGGCCGGCATTCTTTTGGGAGCCATGCCACCAGCCCAGTATTCTTTTTCCTTTTTTCTTTTTTGTCAGTCATGGGGCTGTCCCTCAGCTCTTCAGCTCAAGGTGAGCACTCTACCACCTGAGCCACAGCGCCACTTCTGGCTTTTTGAGTGGTTTATTGGAGATAAGAGTCTCATGGACTTTCCTACCCAGGCTGGCTTTGAACCGTGGTCCTTTCTGAGTGGTTTATTGGAGATAAGAGTCTCATGGACTTTCCTACCCAGGCTGGCTTTGAACCGTGGTCCTCAGATCTCAGCCTCCTGAGTAGCTAGGATTAATGTATAGGTGAGAGCCACCAGTGCCTGACCCAATAATCACATTTTAACAAGAGAGAGAATTTTAAACCAAAGAAGTAGCTTGCGGGTGGTGGGAATTTAGGCCTCTGGAGCAGGCAGGTTCATCCTGGGGTGTAGTCAGAACGGCTTGTCAAACCAGGTGGATGACTACATATGTCATCGTTCAAACCCCAGGGCATGCACACACACACACACACACACACACACACACACACACACACACACGAGGAAGAGTGGTAGAGCACTAGTCTTGAGCTGAAGAGCTGAGGGACAGTGGCCAGGCCCAGAGTTCAAGCCCCATGACCGACCAAAAAAAAAGAAAAAGGAAAAAAAGTTTGTGTGTGTGTGTGTTATATACACATATACATATATATGGAGAGAGAGAGAGAGAGAGCGCCATATTGCCACCAATATGCCCAATCAGCTTCCCAGTGCTCACCCAGAATCCAGCAAGGACTTCCGGTTCCCCTGGCAGTCAGGTGTGCAGCCCGCAGGTACACTCAGGGGCCAGCGAACCCCCAAGCCCCCCCAGGCCAACCCGGAGGTCACCTAAAGTCCTCCCAGAAGCCCAGGCCCCATGGAAGCATACGCGATTGGTGGCCCGTGGGCTGGAGCTCGCCGAGTCTGGGCCGGTGGTGGACGCAAGCGGGGCCTGCAGCTCCCCCGAGCCCTCGGGCGGGCGCGGAAAAGCAGAAAGTGTCCAGGGAGCAGATGGAGGGCTGCTGGGTATGGATTATGGGAACAAATCATGGCGCCCAGTGAGGCCGGCAGAATTCCCCGCGGGGTTCCACCAGGGTCTCCCCTGAGAAATCTCTAGGGCTTTTCTACACAGCAGGCCAGGGCTGCCAGTTCACCCCGTGGTGCTTCCCCGCCGGCGTAGTCTGGGGGAGGCTGGCTGTTCTCACTCGCTAGTTGCTGCCACAGGAGCCTGGAGGTATTTCATAAATCCGGAGAAACAGCTGCTGAAGTTTTAAAACTTCTTTCATATATTTAGGATCTGATTGTGGGGGAGGCCTAGAGCTAGCAGAAGACTGGGCAGGAAAGTCTGTGAGACCCTTTTATCTCCAATGAACTACTCAGGAAAAGCCAGCTGTGGTGTTGTGGCTCAAGTGGTAGAGTGCCAGCCTTGAGCAAAAAGAAGCTCAGGGACAGTGCCCGGGCCCTGAGTTCAAGCCCTAGGACTAGCTAAATAAATAAATGAAGGGCTGGGAAGGTGGCTCAGTGGTAGAGCGCTTGCCTTGCATGCCTGAGGCCCTGGGTTCGATTCCTCAGCACCACATACGCAAAAAGAAAAAAAAAGCTGGAAGTGACTCTGTGGCTCAAGTGGTAGAGCGCTAGCCTTGAGCTGAAGAGCTGAGGGACAGCGCCCGGGCCCAGAGTTCAGGCCCTACGACCGGACCAAACAAATAAATAAATGAATAAATGAGCTGGCAAGACTGGGTACTGATGCCCCACACCTGTGCTCCTAGCTACTCACCAGGCTGAGATCTGAGGATCCCGGTTCAAAGCCAGCCAGGGCAGGAATGCCCAGGAGATTCTTCAGTTAACCACCAGAAACAGGAAGTGGCGCTATAGCTCAAAGCGGTAGAGCTCAAGGACAGTGACCAGGCCCCGAGTTCAAGTCCTACAACCAACCAAAAAAAGAAAGGACAGATGGATGGAAGGAAGGAAGGAAGGTGAAAGAGAGAGAGAGAGAAAAGAAAGAAAGATCGGAAGGAAGGAAGGATGGAAGGAAGGAAGGAAGGAATGAGCTGGTAGAACCAGGTATGGTGGCACAGGCCTGGAATACCAGCTTCTAAAGACCAGCCAGGGCAATTTAGGAAGAGTGTTTCAAAAGCAAACAAACATTGGGGCTGGGAGTGTAGCTTAGTGGTAGAGCGCTTGCCTAGCATGCATGAAGCCCTGGATTCCATTCCTCAGCACCACATACACAGAAAAAGCTGGAAGTGGCGCTGTGGCTCAAGTGGTAGAGTGCTAGCCTTGAGCAAAAAGAAGCTCTGGGACAGCATACAGGCCCTGAGTTCAGGCCCCAGAAACCCCAAAACCCCAAACTCCTAGGCTCAATCCCTATAGACAGAGATAGAAAGAGAAGAAAAAAATCTGGGTTCTACTCGTTCTGGAAGCCCAGGGAATAGTGGGTATTCACCCACTTAAAATAGAAGTGCGAGGCGATGACACACTGTGAAGGAAACTCGGGAGATAACGCAAGTGTGTGGGAACCAGCTCCTTGAACTCAGGGCCTGGGACTTTTCCTTGGCGGACGCCCTACTTCTGGCTTTTTTGCTGGCTGGTTAATTGGAGTCTCACAGACTTTGCTGCCTGGTCAGCTTCTTAAGCAGCTGGGATTACAGGCGTGGGCTACAGATGCCTGGGCATTAGTTACCTGTTGTGTGTGGGGGAGAGGAAGGGGCTGTCCTGGGGCTTGACCTCAGGATCTGGGCGCTGTCCCTGAGCTTCTTCACTCAAGGCTAGCGCTCTACCACTTGAACCACAGCTCTGCTTTTGGCTTTTTTTTGGTGGGGGTGGTTAGTTGGAGGTAAGAGTCTCACGGATGTTCTTGCCCAGGTTGGTTTTGAACTGTGACCCTCAGATCTCAGCCTCCTGAAGAGCTAGGGTCACAGGCGTGAGCCACTGGTGCCTGGCTACTTCCCAACTCTTTTGTGGTTCATTGCGGATGAAAGTCTCACAGACTTTCCTGCCCAGGCTAGCTTTGAACTGCAGCCCTCAGATCTCAGCTTCCTAAGTAGCTAGGCTGACAGTCATGAACCACCAGCACCTGGCTTTCGTTATTCCAGGGCACAAGCTGAGGACATGGCGGCATCTAGTACCTGCTGGCTGCTTCCTGCCTCTATATAATAATACAGAGAGGATGCACTGGACATCTTGTGCCTTACTTCAGCTTCCAGATGACTTGTTTCTGCTGGTTTATTATTATTATTATTATTAATTAGCATACATCAACAGCACCATACTAATGACTGCGACCATTTCAGAGATGGGTGCTGGGTACTTGGAGCATAGTCCCTCCTCCCTCCCAGCCTCTCCCCCTCCCCCACCATTTTCATGAACTTAGGGCCTCTTCCCCCCCCAGTCCCCTCTCCTTCCCCCTCCTCCCTTCCCCCCCCCCGTCCCACACCATTTTGGCAGTTGCTGATAGACTGCATTGGGGAGGACTCTCGTGGTCCTTTCTTGGTCCCCAGGGGCTGGGTTTCGGGATTTGGGGTGGGGATGCGGAGGAAGAGGCCTTGGCCCAGCTCAGGGCTCCCCTGGGGGGGGTCTGTCTTGGCTGAGGTTGGGGACCTGAAGGGTAAGGCCCAGGGTCAGGCCTTGGGGGAGGTCTGAGCCCCCCAGGAGAAGGGAAGTGGGGTTGGGAGCGGGGAGACTGAAGGCATTTCCTCCCTTTTCTTGGTTGTGATCAGAGCTCCCCCCACCCCTTTGAAGCCAGCCCAGTCCTGGTACCAACCCCCCCCCCCGCCTTCCTTCCAGGAGGCCAAGTTCAGCTTCCTGGGTGGCGAGGAGCCCCGGATGATTTTCGACTGGGTGGACACGGAGGGGAAAGGCCGCCTCTCCCTGGAAGAATTCGGCTCTGGGCTCCGTAAGTCTGTCCTGGGAGAGGCCCCGGGGTCGCCCAGCACGGGGTAGGGCCGGGGTCACTGGCCAGGCCCGGAGGCCTTCACATGGGGAGCACTTGGGGCTCTCCCCTGAGACTCCCCAGCCTGTCCTCCTGAGACCACAGGCCACGTGAGGGCCGTGTCCCCTCAGAACGGGGGTCCTGAGGCACTGTGGAGGGGGAGGCCAGGGGTCTACACCCACAAGCTGGGAACGCCCAGGTAACAGAGGCCGGTCAGCCGGGCATAGCGGGCAGGGCAGAGAGGAACCTTTGTCCCTGCAGCCCCAAAGGACCATCTTCAGTCACCCGTGCCACCCACGGGCTTCCCAGCACCTGTGAGGGAACAAAGGCTGGCTCTTCTGCGAGGCCCCGGGCCGGCGCCATCTGTACCCTGCGGCCTCACTCAGCAGCCCCTTGCCTTCCTGTCTGGCTAGCCCAGCTTCTCCCCCAGGGCCTTTGCATATGCTGCTCCCTGCCTGGACTGCCCTTCTCTGCAAATGGTCATTCCTTCTTCTCATCTCCCAGGCGTGGTTAGCCTCCTCATCTCAAGCAGTCTCCCTCCTCTCTCCCTGTCTCCCAGTGGGAATGATCCAATGTATCCCTTGAGCTCACTTAGTAAATTTGCCTTGAGAAGGAGGTAAAGGAGGCACCAGAGGCTCACAACTGTAATCCTAGCTACTCAGGAGGCTGAGATCTGAGGATTGCAATTTGAAGCCATCATGGGGAGAAAAGTCCATGAAACTCTTATCTCCAATAAAGCAGAAAACTGGAAGTGGCGCTGTAGCTCAACTGGTAGAGTGCTAGCCTTGAGCAAAAGAGCTCAGGGACAACACCCAGGCCCAGAGTTCAAGCCCCACGACAAAGAAGGAAAGGAAGGAGGGAAGGAAGGAAGGAGGGAAGGAAGGAAGGAAGGAAGGAAGGAAGGAAGGAAGGAAGGAAGGAAGGAAGGAAGGAAGGAAGAAAGGAAGGAAGGAAGGAAGGA